GGATTAAACTAAAGAATTTTTTTCTTTCGGTCAAAATTAAAAAAATACATTGAAACTTGAAGATTCTTAAAAAATAGGCCGAAATATAGAAGGAGGCCTGCAACACACCCGCTAAAAATGTCTATGAGATTCAATGACTGCCATTTTTGTCCGTCCCTAAGGCTCGTTTGACCCCTATAGAAAAAGGAGGCGCTTCATGGGTTTCGCACACAGGCGCTGCCGGGGGTCGGCGCGGCCCTGTCGAAACACATGAGTGAATGAAGCCAACTCTTCAATTCAGAATTATTTTATATAAAAAATGTTAAATACTCAGACTAAAATACTCTTCAATATATCTTAAAATTAAATCCGTTGCATTTTTTTTAAATCCAAACAAATTCGATATCAAAATCATATTTTATTAGATTCTAGTTGTGGTGGGTGGTAGAAAATGCTTTAGTTAATTCGTGTCTCATAAATCTAGATGACTTATATTTATTAATAGGGCCAAACGACCGTTATAATCAATAATTCAATCAATTATAGGGCTCTAGCTTATTATTAAAATTAGGTGATATTATTGCGTAGAATATTTATAAAATGATTTGTTAGTTAATTATTTAACACGTTATAAACTATTTTAAGCATTCAGTATCGGCTTTTAAATTATGCTAGGCTATCATAATTTAAAAGCCGATATCATGGTCCGTCCTGATTGATAGTTTTTTTTTCTTTTTCCCTAAGGCTATGAGCGAATTTTTTCTGTGGTGCTGTCATGTGGAGTGACTTCCCATTGGCAGCATCTACTCATCGTCTAGAGCTACTGCCGGTCTTCTAGCTTTAGAATATGGTGATGTTTTAGTCGATTCACATACCTACTGTCTAATGGTGAGTTGGCGAGTAAGTTCATTCGGGTGACAGCTTAACCGCTCGATTGATAGTTAAAATAATTTTTATTTAATTTAGACCATCCTTTCATTTTAGATAATACTTAAAAATATAGGGCTCCAGTAAACTTTCATTGTAAGTTTCTATAGCATAATATATAACCTTTGACATTAAGGACATTCTTGTTGAAATTGCAAAATACCGTTTTTCTCCATTTATATGCCAAACAAAGTTTTATGTGACATACCTGCATATAATTATTTTTTGTAAGGTGTTAAATTAAACATCGCGAAATTTTGTTAATTGCCTACGTTTTACTTGAGCTTAATTGCAAATAAATCTCTACATATATAAAATTCTCGTGTCACGATGTTCGTTTCCATGCTCCTCCTTTGGAAATATTTATGCATATTCAGTAAGTCTGAGAATCGGCTACTATCTATATTTCAAACCCCTAAGTAATAAGGGGTGACCACCCCAAAAAGTAATTTTTTATTTTTTGATATTTTTTTTATTTTATTATGTGGCATTAAAAAATACATACAACACTAAATTTTCATTCTTAGATCACAGATTCTTAGATTGTTAATTTAAAATCTTACGACTTGAACTCTGAGGTTTATATAGAGAAAAAATCACAGAAAAACATAAAAAGTTTTAATTCCAGAAAACCGAACAGTCTCTGGGGTAGCATAGCAAAATGTTCCATGTTGGTATCTACTAAAAAGGTAGTCAAGTAAAATCCCATTAAGGAGAAACGAAGGACGCGGGGGCAGCTAGTACACTACAATATTCCCACTAACACGTATGCCCATCACTAAATTAAATAGGCATATAAACGTCTTTCAGGTCCAACAAATAACATGCAAATCAAATGATTTAGAATAGATTTAGTAATCCTCAAAAAATGCCACGCCCTAGTTATACAGATTAATATTTTTTACGACTTTCTCTGCAAACGCGTAAACGATTCTTAGTTGTGATAAAAGCCCTTAAAATCCTATATTTTTCCACTGCAGTTTAATATTACAAGTGGGCTGAACAGGAAATAAGCAAAAATATCTTGAGTTTCTTGATCACTGTTTTTTGTCGATACAAAAACTGAAGCTCGCCAATGTTAATAAAACATGAATCAAAGAAATGAAATACAAATATTCTAGAAATAATTGGTTTATTATTAAATTTAAAATACACATCTTATGATGAAATCCTTATAACACCTGTCATTTAGGCATATCGCTTAATGTCATTCTTTCAAATACAGTGTAACTCTTTATAACGTTTTATTTATAAGTTATAGAGAGATTTTGTTATAGGGAGGGAAGAATTAATGTATGGTTATTAGGTTAAACCAAATAAATTTAACTCATATAGTTTTCGTTATAACCAATGACGTTATAAAGAGTTTACACTGTATTGTCATTGTTCAATGTAAAAAAAATAAGTAGAATTAAAAATTGTAATGTTCCAACTAGATCACAATAATGTAAGAAAGAATAAAATAAAATCGTTGTATAACAAAGTTAAGTCCACTTTTTCAATATCGTTGAAATTAAACAAATGCGATTTTTATACAACAATATTCTTTGGTCGTACATATATCTAGCAAAGAGAAACTCTAAGATTAATACAGGAATTACCTTCTCCTATTAACACTTTATCGAAACATACATCTTAATTAAGCTTTTGCAAACGGAATCGCGCGTACCGACTTAAATAATTATTAACATCCATTCCAAGTATGCATTCTCTAAATATTGCAAATCATTCATTGCACTATGGCATTGCGACCGTCCTTGCAACAGTTTAAATTTAATGTAAATTCAACCTTATATTTTTACAATAAGGCTGTCTCCATATGCGTGTAAAGAATCTATATTACTCGCTCTATTTCCTTACCAATTAATCAGCTACACAACATTTTTTTCGCTGGTAAATTAGTGGTTCCGGAATTTTGAAGTTCGTCAACGTCTGTTGCGCTGCTATGTGAAAGATTTAAATGAGGAAACATTGATGTAAATAAAAATTATTACAAAAAATGGTAGGTAATCTATCACTAACGCGAAATAAAACGGGCGGCCCATGGGCTAACTGTTTTCGAATTTTAAAATATACCTACCTAGTGTGCTTTAAACAACTTATGAATAACACTTTAACATTACGTTGAAAATATATTTCTTGTTTTACTTTTTTAAGTTATAAAGAAGTTTTAAAGGGTACAATAGTATTTCGTAAACATCAATCGTACCGTTTATAAGGTCCTTAACGGGAAAAATGCGGGTAGAATTTCGTATTTTTCATCGACATTGATGAAACTAAGCAATATATAATATTTAAAAATAATAATTATGACAGAAACAGTTCATTCATATCCATTGCTTTATAATATATCGGTTACATCAATTATCATTCGATATATATTATATATTTGACTATCGTTATGTTCTGTTAAAATCTGTTTAAAATTATAGTAGTCAAGTCAAGTCAAGTCAAAAAAAATCATATAGGTAACACAATGTATACTTATGATCGTCAAACAACTGCTTTTAAGCCAAGTTCTCTATATCAAAAGTTACGAAACTGGTTCAGCACTTTAATCATAACAAACCTCACTTTCGCGTGTAATGAGTAACGAAGTTTATATCTAATTGGATTGAAATAATCCAGTGTAACGAATTAACTATCATTACCAACAGAATAGACACCAAAGAATTCTTGGCATAAGTTAATTCATAGTGGGTGTTTGCTGAACATTAAAATAACTAGACATCCACACCTAAGTGTTGTAATAATCTACCACAATTGCAATGCATTTAATAAAGTAGTTACCAAAATAGTAATAAATAGTATTAATATTAATAAATAGTATTAATAGTAATAAATAGTATTAATAGTAATAAATAGTATTAATATTAATAAATAGTATTAATATTAATAAATAGTATTAATAGTAAAAAATAGTATTAATATTAATAAATAGTATTAATATTAATAAATAGTATTAATAGTAATAAACTACCGTCTACTGTCTTAAAGATAACCTAATTTTCAGTTTATAAAAACTTTACACAAAAATGCGTTTAACAAATTATAAATAATTATGTCACAGACTGCTTGCATTATAGTGGCCCTAAAATCGCACTAGTGTTAGTTGGACATTATTTATTTATTTATTTCGTACTCCCACAGCTTAAATTATATGTATAATAAAAAACAATTTTATACTTTTTTCGATTATATACTTTTTTCTAATACACCTAATTCGGGTGTTTGAAAATAATTTGTTAAAAAGATAGTTTTACTAAAAACCTGAATATTTTGGTTGATTCGCGGCCACATAAATATTAATTATTGTTGCGGCAGATTGAGAATGTGATGCTATGTACAAACATGATCGATTTTTCTTCTTCTTGTAATCTTATCATACGTCTTGAATTCATGTTTAAAAAATTACAACGGCGTGTAAACAACAATTTTTACTAATTGAAGGCTAAGCTAGTTTTTAATAAATTCTTAATGAAAGATATTAAGAGAATAAAAACATGAGAACTTAAACCTAGAGTATAAATAATATAATAATAAATAGATAGTCGTAAGTAAAAAACAACCTTGCGTTGCCGATTATACAGGCTTTGTTACACTTTATTATATAGTACACGTCAATCAAAGACTTAATAGATTTATCTAGTATATAATTGTAATAATTATGTGGCAAAAAGTTACATATTGATTTTGCAGCTGAGAGTTTTTTTTTAACTGAAATAAGTTCTACCAGATGACACGCCCCGGCCTCTTATGACTATAGGTGCAATTAAAAACATAGACAATAATTTCGGTCTTATTACATGCAAATTTCAAATGTTTTCTCCGATTTTTTATTGTGTTGTAGCGAACTAAAACTCTTTACCATGAACAATGATAAACCTTTTTTAAACTGCCTTGCGATTCTGTAACTCACTCTTCGAACTCTCACAGCGGTTTTCGCAGCGGCGCGCGGTCGCGCTCAAATCAGTCGTAAAGCAGTCATTTTACGATTTGGCATTCTGATAAACAATAAACTACAAGCTCCCTCCTAATTCGAAAAGTGAGTTACAGAATCGCAAGGCAGAACCTCTAAACAACTGAACATTACTATGTCGTTAGGAACGAGTAGAATTTGCCATTCGGTCTTGCCGTCCGATAATGAAATTTTGCTGAAGGTAATCCGAAGAACTCTTCGAATACTCCACATGGTATATGCTATAGAAGATGCAGAGAGCGCCTATATCTCTAGGCAGCACCAAAGGATCCAGCTGATCAGAAAGAACAAGGTCCTCGATGATTCGAGCTGCTTTGCGTTAGATGCGGTCAAAATAAAGGAGCTGGTGTTGGGGAGCTCCTGCCCAAAGGTGGAAACAGTACCCCATGCAGGAATGCGCTATGCGGATATGCGCGATATGTGACTTCGCTCGATATGAACACACGGAGAATGAATGAATTGACATCCCCAGTGTTGTCATCCGCATAGCAATGAACGCTGCTGAACTGCAACATACCATTGATAAGCAGAAGGAACGGCGTTGGAGAGTGTACACACTTGTACTTGAGGCTAATATACTAAGCTATGCTCCAGCATTTATGGATTTTACCTAAGATCATTCACCGACCACAGCGACCTTTATTTTCCAATCGGCCCAAAAGCTGGAAATCTACTCGCAGAATTTCACGTGTAGTCCGTAACTTTTGCAAGAAGTACCTTGTGCCATACCCGATCGAAGACTTTCCCTATATCAAAGCTGACCGCTGGTTAAAGGGGAGGATAGAGGCCAAAGCATCAGCCCATCTGTGAGTAAGGTACAAAGCACTGATCAGCTGACACTCTTCTAGATACCGAAGGAGCTGACTGTTAATAATGGACTCCATTATTAGAGATCCACGAGAACGAAAAAAAGAGAGAGAAGAAAACTATCTTGTAAATGTATAATGTAATAAGGTAGTTTATGCATTACATATAATTTAATCTCTTCAGATAAATATTTAATCAGTATTATATCATTTATGAAAGTAGAATAAAAATTAAATCACGAAATCATTTGCATTTAAAGTGTACTTACAAAATATATTAAATTTCACATGTAATTTATTACACGAAACTAAGTTAAATCGAGATTAATAGCTACTTTTCATAATAAGTATATTACTAAACGGCAGTAAAGATAAGAAACCATAGCTTCTGGCTTGTCTTTGTTAACGCGTATCTTTGGTAGAGATCGCGCCTTTGTACAACAGTATTATTATGTACATAGGTGTTACTTAACATCTAATTACAATTTGTTCTGTTCAAGCGCTTTCATATATATATATATATATCGTTCATAATTATATAATCTTACATAAAAAAGATATGCTTTTCGGATGAAGGGACACTTTTGTTTTCTTACTGGCCATCTGACTGGGTTGTCTGCTTTGCATAAAAAGTTCTACCATAAATTTAACACGGAAACGCTTACGTGGTCCGTTTGCATCTATTGCGGAGTATGTAAGAAAAATTTGCATGTTAATATTCGTAGGCAAGCCTGCAAGTAAATGAATATATATTATTTGAACTTTACATTGATATTTAATTATAGGCTAAACGAGCGACAACGATGAGACGGCTTTTAACCTGGCTGTGTGTTTTTTATGTGCATAATCAACATGCAAAAATCTGAGGGCAAAATAAAAATGGGGTTATAGCGCCACTGAATAATTGATATTAAAATATATCAAACTCGTGGAATTAAAAGACAAAAGTCAATTCTTTTCTATTTAATTCTGCCACCGAGCGTGTATATACGTATAGAACGTGTCCTTTCAAATGTTGTGACAGGTTGTAATTGTAAATAGATTTTCACTTGAATAATAGCTTAATAACAATGGACATATGAATTGACACTTTAAATGCTCTAAGTACGATTAGCAAATAAAGAAATTTAAAGAAAATACTTTTTACCGGATTGAAGTTATGTATCTATTATTATAGAAAGTGTTTTCTTTAAATGTGTAAAAGATATGTTAATAAAAGACAATACTAAATAAAGAAATTTTTAACACCATTACCATGTTTTCTGAGCATTTATCTTACATTAAATTACCTTTTTAATATGGGATATAAAAATCATCAATATTTAAAGTTAACAAGGCAATATATCTAAAAATACTAATAAATTCAACAAACATATATAATCACTAGTGGACCCCACAGACGTTGTCCTGCATGATATTTAAAGCGATTAGGATATTAAGCAAAGTATGAAAGTACCGACTGCAGTGCCATCTGCCGGGCTGATTTGTGAATCTAAACCATTCCCAGATCCCCTTGAACACACACAAAAAATTTCATCAAAATCGGTCCAGTCGTTTGAGAGGAGTTCAGTCACATACACACGCACAGAAGAAATATATATATTAAGATAGAATTAACCTAATGTCCAATAATATTACGGAGATTGCGTAAGAAATAGTGTTATGGCCTTAAAACGTTTAAGAGTTTAAGATGCACCAAAAGTTCAGCCGTTTTTGTTAACGCTACTAAAATAAGCTGACATGCTACTGATACAAACGCGTAGTTATAAATGTAGCATACAATTACTTAACTGCGGTAACATACGCAATACGAATTTAACCTTTTAGTACAGTTAGCCTTAATAAGAGCTGTAATTTTGGTATATCTCCGAGTAAAATTGATAATATTAAATGTAAAAGTCGTCCTATTAAAGACGATATCATACAATCATGAAAATCATAAAGATAAATTTTGCTTTGGAAATATTTACATTTTTATTATTAAAATATTTAGTTCAATATATCGAGAGAAGATATCTTTGTAATTCGTAGTTTGAATAAAGATTTTCACGGAATGGCTAGACAGTAATGGTGTTTAAAAAAACTAACTATGCAATTTCGGTATATATTGTAAATTAATTTCTAAAACAATATGCACAAAAATTTAAACATACATTTGATTCAAACAGAAATTGCATCATAAAAAAAAATATTAGTAGCGAAAAACTCATAAAAGTAAGGTACATAAATATATGCAAAACAGCAGAAATATAACGTACTTTAAAAACCAAACCTAAGTAAAAACTTATAATAATAACGGAACCAATAACATCAATATTACCACCGAGCTATCAAAAAAGAAATAATTAGCCAACAGCGCGTCCAAAAATGTAAAAGAACGGGTTTTAAAAACTTCATTGCAAACTCTGATAAAACTATACCAATTGAACATAAATCTTATTTCGCCAAGGTTTGTCCAAGATCGCCAATTAAACCTAATTGTAACAGCATGCAAGTGCTTAATTTTATCGGCACTTGCTCGAACCGTTATTAATAGAATACTTAAATACAAAATTTAAATGTAAGTATATAATATTTAATTCCACGGTATAGCCAGTCCTTAGAATTTACGAAATATACTTAGATTATGACTGAGTGAAACGGACAATTTTTTATTTAAAAACTGTTGAGGTTTTTCATCATTTTAAGATTCCTTCAGATAGTCATTGTGGTTCATGAAATTGCCGCATTAATCTACAGTCATATCATAGTTTTCCCCTACCCTATAGATATAGTTTCGAAACGTTTTTATATTACCTAAATTTTTTTTGATAAATTTTTGAATTTCCGTATTAGTCACAAATTACGGGTAAGATCTAGTTGTTTCTACTTGCTTTTAGGCATTGAACTATTATTGGAATTTTATTGGCACGACCGATATTTACGATAACAAGATATTTTATGACTAATAAAGCTCAGACTATAGTTGTGTTAAATTGTCGCAAATAATTCAGAAATTGTAACAGCTTCATTTAAGGTTAGAGTTAAGCTAATTAATGTCACCGACTGACACGCAACTATACAGGAAACTTATTTCATTTTAATATATACTTTTTATATTGTCGGAAGGGACTTGATAGTAGAATACAGATAGAGAAATTATTCCAACGTTTCCTGTTCCTGTCCGCAGAGTCCCAACTCCAGTCCAAGTATCAGCTGTGTAGATAGATGAATAGATATTGCCTATTGGATGGCTTACGAACCTAATTTTTGAAGCTAACTTGAAAAGCTAGAGGTTTTAGTCTCGTCAACCTTTTAAATGAACCTCATATCACTCATATGAAAGGTAAATCCATAAAGACTAAAGGCTCTTAATGATTAAAACTGAGCCCAAGAGGCCTTTATTTAGCTGTCCGTATTTATTAGTTTAATGCAGGAAATTAGAAATAAACTTGCTTGATACGTTTTTTTTATTAAATTGATTCAAATGCTACTTTTTTACAGTTAATTAACTTTAGTGTAACACATCGCAGCGTAGGATATAATATGAAATGTCTCATTCAATATTGTCTGGAATTCGTTCAACGCAATAATTGAGATATGCGTCATTTATACGCACGCAACAATTCGGATATAGCCTTGCCGCCCTTTCACCTGCTCCTCTAGAAACTTCATTCCACAGATACGTACAGCGTTTGACAGCTGTCAAAGAAACTAATTCAATTAGTCACAGATAAAAATCATAATGTGCCGTATGTCAGTTAATGCTTTTTGAAGTACAACTTCTTAATTGTTTTGAATTGGTCACGACTGTACAGGACAAACTGTCACAATATTTTCAATGTTAAATTTTGATACTTTATAAAAAAAATCTTATGTCGATAATTTAAGATATATGTAGAATAACATAGCACAAAGTAGCGTAAGGGAGCGTAAATGCGAAAGTTTTTCTTAGTTTGTTACGCTTTCATACCTACATCGTTTAACGGCATTTTGTGATCGTAATATATTTAATTCTCAAACATAGTATCAAAATAATGATCCTACTAAACTGGTCATCGAGCATTCCTAGCCCTGTCAAAGTAATTACTGGTGAAACAGTAAGGAAATTTTTAGATGAAACACTAAGATATTTCATGAAATAATCTAATTTGTTCTTTTAATTTCCTTCTACATTTTAATATTCATATATATATGAACGGATTCATGATCGCGGGGCTTTTGCACACTACAACAGGAAGAATTAATTCTGAGTCATTGCAGGCTTATACCTAATAATCTTGCTCTTGATCTCGTTTAACATTAATTCTATTATTATATTTTTGTTTTTAAATTATGTCCAATGCCGCAGCATCTTCCGTGGGCAACTTCATTCTGTTAATTTTGAGTCACGGTGCGCGCGCATCGCAAAATTTCAGTCTCTTCAATTTTTCATAACGCGCCTAAAGAAGAATAACTTCAAAAATTTGAAAGTATTGTCTTTGATATTGCTGTGTATCTGTATTCCAGCGAATAACATTTCTAGGTAAAACAGCCTTTAAACTAAAATGGAGTTGTCACAAACCCAGTTTAAATCTTAATTCAATGTTGAAACATCATAGTCATTTAATTGTCAAGACACCAAATAATTACTATATTT